CTGAAGACCTGAGTTGGATTCCAGGACTCCACAATGAAAGGAGAGAACTAGAGAACTGACTCCCAAATTCACCCCCTACAAGGATTCAGTTCCCAGAAACCACATGGTGGACCCACACCCATCTATAACTGCAGTCCCAGAGGATGTGACACTCTCTGCTGGCCTCCAAAAGCACTGCATGTACATGATGCACAGGCATACCTGCAAGCAAGACACACACACACACACTAATATTCATAACAACAAAAATATACGAAACCTACCAGTACTAGTAAAAATTAAAGCTCTTGACTCAAGGAATAGTTTCAAACGAGCTACGTGCAATGTTGAGACTACTTAAATGAAGTTAAGCCCTCATCAACAATCCATGTACTGCAAAGAACCCAAAAACAGTAACAAACCTTGCCAAGATCAGGAACCCTGTGTGTCTGCTGATCTGACCCCTAACCTGCCCCCGCCCAAGTTGTCCTGCAGGTTGGGCCAGAATGAGAATTCCTGTATTAAACATTGTTCAAACTAATTTGAAATGTAATTACATAGTCACATCAATATAATCAAGGAAATGTGTTTTTTACAAGGTATAATCATTTTCTAATTACTAATTAAGAACTCTCCACAGTTTATGAGAAAATTCTACCTTAGAATTGTTTGGTGATATACAGTGTGTGAATTAACCCAATTGCTTTCTGGGAGTCCTCGGGTGACAGAAACATAAATAATTCATTGTGAAGCTGGATGCTTTTCATGCTCTCAGCTAACCTGGAATTCCAGTACGGGAGCAGCAAGTGAGTGACCCTGCCTTCATGAGAAATGAAGAGGGGCCATGTATGGTGTGTACTCACAGAGTCTTTCTCATACTTCTATTCTCTGGTGGATAGTCTAATGTCTAACTGTCTGACCTGCTACCAGGGGCCTCTCACATGAGCAACTCGTCCACACTGGCAGATGCCCGCGTGGTAACTGTCTGACCCACACTCGGTTTATTCGACTTCACCACCTCTAGTGGTAGGTGCCTAACCTTTCCTTCTTCCCCACCAACCAGATAAGACCCACCTGGGACAGCCCCTAGTTCCCTAGTTCATTGAATAAAAGGCTCAAGTGCAATAAGTCTCCAAGTAATTTTTTTACTTAAAGATTCTGAACAAAGAAAACCAGTACATCAGGAGGACACGCCACTGTACCTGGGCTAAGGAAACAGGAATAATGAACCAGAGGGAGAGGCGAGAGAGGGATGGAGGAAGAGAGACTGGCAGTAGATATAAAGGGTGGGGTGGGGTCACCAAATTCAGAGGTGGGTGCTTAAGTAAGTTTTTCACAAGGCAACCTGAAAGCTTACGCCGCTAGGGGGAGAGAGACTTGACTATCTGAGTAAAATACAACTGAAATTCACATGTAGGTGACTGAGCCCAGCCTCTGGTGTAAGAAAGAGCTCATGCACATAGCAGATGCTGAGACAACATAAAACTGTAAGCTCTCACTACATCCTGACTCTAATTAGTATTCTGAAAACAAACCCCACATCCCCACGCTTCGCACCTTCTCGTCCTCACTATGGGTTTATTTAATCCAAGTTCCAGAGGAGAGAGGTATTGATTCCAGGAGCTCGGAGAAGCAGCTTTGCTGTAATTGCCAGGGAAGGAAAGGCCAAGCTTTGTAGATTCCTCTTCTTCAAACATGGTCTATCTATATACAGTGAAGTTTAAAATCCACCTTAAGATTCCTTAAGTATACAGCTAAGACAGTTGCCTGTGTTTGTACAATCCACGAGCATCAGGAAAGCCAGAAGAGCACCTGGATTCTGCCTCCCGTCCCTGGACCTGTCACTCATCCTGTCTGGGTTGGGTTGGGTTTGGCTTCGATTTTATTGTTTGCATGTTGGATTTTTCACAGTGCTGGGAACTAAACTTAGGACCTTACCCACCCTGCACAAGCTTCAACCATTAAACTAGTTTCCTCATTTACCTGTGATGACTAATCTTAATTGTCAACAGGACCTGATTTATAATTGCCATGGAAACACACATCTGGGTATGTCTGTGAGGGTATTTCCAGGAAAGTGTAGTAGGAAGCACACTCAATGTGGGCTACAGGATGGAGTCCCAGACTGGACCAAAAGGACAAAGTGAGCCGAACAGCAGCACTCATCTCTCTGTTTCCTAGCTGTGGACACAATGTATGAGGCCAGCTGCCGCATACTTCTCCTAGGCTTTCCCCACCTTAGTGGATTGTAGCCCCTCTAAGTATAAGTCAACAAAGACTCTTTTCTACCTTCAGTGGCTTTTCTTAGGCATTTTGTCACAGCAATGAGAAAATTAACTAATACACTAATGAAGAACAACATATTCCCCAAGGTTAGAAGGGCAAACAAGTTAAAATAACACAGAGAAGTGATCTGTAAAGTAAATCATGCAGAATTGAAAGTTTGGGATATTTTTCAGGCAGAGCTTTATATATACAATGGCATAAGTCCTTCTTCTGAAAGAACTAGAATACTAGAATACTAGGTGGAAATTATGAATACTCATTGACATCTTTCTTTTTTAAGAGCTTAAGATTTTTTTTAAGTATATGTGCTTCTGAGTGTGGGTATGCAGGCCAGAAGAGGGCATCAGATCCCCTAAGGCTGGAGTTTACAGGCTGTAGTGAGCTACCTGACATGGGTGTGGGGAACTGAACTTGGGTCCTCTGCAAGAGCAGTATGTGATCTTAACCTCTGAGCCTCTCTCCAGCCCCTCACTGCCATCTTTTTGTGTACAAAATCTAGTTCCAGATGCAGATAATCATTGCATCTCTTGCCTCCACTTTTGAAAGTCTCATAATTTACATAGAGTAAGTTCAAACTTGAGATGCTGCCTCACCCAACATCTGTTATGGCATAAATGTTATATCTATCCTGTTGAAAGGAGTTTTCTATATTTGCATATCCCCCTATGAAAAGAAATTTTTGTTCCAAAAAATTATTTTAAAATATATTTTCACATATGCAAATCAATTAAAAATATGTTGTCCTATATTTAAATACAGCTTATTCCTCCATGTATAGACTATACTGTGAGGCTGGTATGTTCTTGTATTCATTAATTCAATAAGCATTTAATTATATAAGCATAAAATTATATATAAGCTAGGGCTTGCAGCTAGCACCTTAATCATTTTCTGTTTATCTCATTTTTATGTTCTTTTTTTTACTCTTCTGAATTAATTAAGTTGTATTATTCCATCACTTCATTTATTTGTTGGGGGCACCCACATGCCATGGTGCACCTGGGGTAATCAGAGGACAATTTTGAGAGTCAGTGTCTCCCTCCACCATGCTGAAGAAGTACCACTCTTGTCAAGCTGCATACTAGGGGTAGCTGGCCCAGAAGCTTCTAGCTGGTGCTCTTACCTCTGTTTTCCATCTTGCCATAAGACATGCTGGGGTTCCAGATGCACACCAGCACATCCGTGCTTTTTTTTTTTTTTTTTTTTTTTTTGGTTTTTACGAGACAGGGTTTCTCTGTATTGTTTTGGAGGCTGTCGGTCCAGCCTGGCCTCGAACTCACAGAGATCCGTCTGCCTCTGCCTCCCGAGTGCTGGGATTAAAGGCGTGCGCCACCACTGCCCGGCTCCACATCTGGCTTTTTCATGTAAGTTTCAGACGTCAAACTCAGGTCATCGGGCTTGCGCAACAAGTAAGCCGCCCCCCTCACACTGTCCAGTTCTTTCCTGTCTATCTGTTCCATAGAAACTATTCCGGGCTATTTCCAAGTTATTGCTGGACGTCAGCACCCATGCTTTCCTTAGTGCCATGTGACACAAATCTGTACTTTCCCGTAACACTTTAAAATTCTTCATGTCTTTTACTCCATTGTTTTCATTCTGCCAGCAATAACATCTACAAGTTATTGGTTTCTTGCTCTGTGCTGTCAATATATACATCTATATTTCCCTGTAGACTTGGCTCATCTCTTCTGTCTGAGCTCATGCTCCTTTTGCTTGTGGAATTTCTGTTATTGGTTATTTTATGTATTTAAACTTCTAACAACAGATACTCTCAGTCTTCGTTTGTCTAGAAATTTCTTTATCAAGCCTTCTTTTTTTAAAATGAAAATTTCTCTAGAGTGAATTGATTCTAGGCTGGTAGTTATTTTCATTTCCTACTTCAAGTTGTTCCCCCCCCCCTTTATCTTGAGCTTGTCACATCTGTTAAGTTGTTTGTGAATTGTGTTGCTGCCTTTGAAGTACCTAATCATCTACGGCTTTTTGCTGTGACCCTTTTTCTATAGTTTCATGTATATGGAAACCGTGTGTCTCACAGAACCCAGAGCTCACCATGTCAGGATGTCCCAAGAATTCTCTGTCTCCAACTCCCACATGCTGGGAATAACAGGTGGACCACCACTCCCACCCAGGTTTTATATGTGTTCTGGGGATCTGAACTCCAGTACTCATACTGCACAGCAAAGAGTTTACCTGCTAAGCCATCTCACAAGCCCCAAACATTCAACAAATGCTTATGTTTTTTAAGATTTATTTTTATTTTTATTCATGTGCCTGTATCTGTATAAGTATATGCAACATGTATGTGGGTACCTGTGGAAGCCAGAAGAGAACATATGGACCTTTTTTTTTTTTTTTTTTAGATAACGTCTTACTGTGTAGCCTTGGCTAGCCTAAAACTTACTATGTAGACCAGAATAGCCTTGAACTCGCAGAGGTCTATCTGCCTCTGCACTCAAAATGCTGGGCTGGATTTTTAATTATGTATTAGACATTGTTTATATATAGCCCATTCATAGTTTATATATTATCCCCACACGAATCAGATTCACCTTTCTTGATAAGGTAAGCACTGGGGTTAATCCAATTATTAATGTACCTGTGCTGTGGCTGGCTAAAGCCCTCGACCTTTGGCTCCTGTGAGTTGCTGAGGCATGGGTTTCCAAGCTTTGCACTGATAGCCTGGGGTGTCTCCATTCTCAGTCATAACAAACCCTAGGAGAGACCCATCTACTCACCAGAATTTCAAGCTTCTGATCTCCCAATCCCAATAGTTTCCTACTCTTTCTTGCTGGAAAGGCCAGCGTGGTGTTTTCTCTCAGGTGGGTCTTCTATCCCTCAAACACTTCTAGGTTGTAGGGCGTTTCATCTGCTTCTCAATACATCTTGACTTAAATTGCAGGTTTTCGTCCTATACAAAGACCAATACTATATCCTATTTCTGTGGTTATTCCATCCATACATGACCAAAGGTTCAAAGTTCGCTTCCCCAAATCGGTAAATGCCCTCCTCCAAGTGAAAATAATGCACACCTCTCCTCTCTAGAATTTTGATTCATCTTATCTATGTCACATCCACAGTTCTCTAGTAACTTTCAGCTTTGTTTTCACTAACTTTTTGTTCATAATCTTTTTCATCTTTTTCTATTGTTTGAAAATTTAATACATGCATATGATAAATTTTGATCAGAACTATGCCCCAATCTTTTCCTTTCAGTGCCTCCACTATACTCTCATCACCACCATGGAGTCTTTTGCAGTCCAAGTTGGCCTCACTACTATGTAGCCAAAGGTGACATTGAACTTCTGGTCTTTCCACTTCTACCTCCCCATTGCCAGAATTACAAACATATACCCACGACCTTTGCTGGAGATCAAACCCAGGGCCTCATGCATGCTTGGTAAGCATACTACCAACAGAACTATACCTAAGCTTTTTTATTTCACAGAGGACGCAGTCTCTTGCTATGGTTCATTACATTATACTTGGAAATGAAGGTCATGTTGACTTCTCTTTAGTTCTGTCCAGTACATTTTATGTGTGTTCTTTAAGTCAGTTTTTAAATTAAAACTTGGTTTTATTTAAACTTTGGAGTCCAATTTAATAATGAATGGTATATTTAACCTTGACTTCTAGTTGGCGATGTTTTATTTAGTTTTTATTATTGTTATTATTTCAGCATATTCTCTAGTACAGAGAATTGATAGCAATACTATTTGGTTTTGTTCTTATAACCTAGAGAAAGGCCACTCCTGGGGTCACCTAAAAAATTCTTTTCAACATTGCCTTAAGCAAATATTATCACAGAAGTATGTTAAGATTATGGTGTTATATCTATCAAAAATAAAACAGGATCAAACAAATCATGTATGCATCATTTAAAATGATGGGACCAGGGAGATGGCTATTGGGTAAAGGTACTTGCCACCAAGCCTGACAGCCTGAGTTGGATCCCTAGGACCTACTTGACTCCTGCAAGTTGTCCTCTGCCTTCCTTGTGATACCATGACAAGCTCATGTCACACCACACACACACACACACACACACACACACACACACACACGCGCGCGGTAATAGTCCTCTGCCTCTGATAAAGAAATGTAAAAACTAAGTGGTAAAGGACAGAGTATAGAATTAAATAGTAGAAATTATTTTTTAATTAATTAACCTGAATTTCAAGGATTGTCCTTTTTAGGACTGATTAGCACTTTAAGTTGACCCAGTAGCTGTCTCCTTCAAGAACAACAACCCACTCACTGTCATTCATAACTAATATGTGCTAATCATCTGTAGTTATTCTGTCTCTAGAGTGTGAGTTAGCATCAGCTTTGGCCCATCCAACTGTTTATTCCCCAAATTCCAACTATGATCCACAAAGGGAAAGAGAAGAGACAAGTGCATGTGTGATCTCTGAAGTGATAAGAGATGAGCATACACCTGATAAGACCAACCAAGCTGGGTCTGCAGGCCTCTCATCCCAACAGCTGCTTAGGACACCAAGGCTTTTGAATTGACAACTAAAGCCTACTTGAGCTACAATGAGATCAAGGCCATCTTAGACCACTTAGAGAGACCCCCAACTCGAAATAAAAAGTAGAAGTGTTGGCAAAGTTGGAAAGATGGCTCAGCAGGTGCAAGCACTTGCTGTGCAAGCCCGATGCCCTGAGTCGATTTCCATGAAGAGATGAATGCACTGGTCTGAATCTGCAATTCCAGAACTCAAGATGGGAGGTGGAGATGGGAGAATGGTGTAGATGCTCACAATATGAAATGCAGAAGAAGTGAGAGAGACTCTGCCTCAAAAACCAGGTGAAAGGAGAAAACTAACTCCTCTTCTAAAAGGTGTGTTCTGACTTCCACATGCATGCTGTGGCGCACACGCAAGCCCACACTCACACATATATCGTTCGTTCATACACACATAATAACAATAATATATTTAATAAGTAGTACTGGCAATATAGCTCAGTGGTAGGGCACTTGCCTAGCATATACAAGTTCTGGATATTAGATTAAATTCCCGGTACTGAAAAAAAAACAGCATAAACAAAAAAGACTATTCATGATGCTAGGATTGGGGCCGGAAATGTAGCTCATTGGCAGAGCCCTTGCCTAGTACACACAATTCCCTTGAGAAGAAAAGCTGGGGAGTTAGAGAGGAAGATATAGTTCCATGGTAGAGTGCTCATCCATTATCCACAGGGCCCTTGGTCTAACCTCCCGCACCGAGAAAGCAACGATAATAAAGTAATACAGACCAACTGAGGACAATTAAACGGTGAGAATCTCCTCTCTTTAGGGCTGTGAATGTATCTGAGAAATTCCCAAATGAATCGTACAAGCTGCTTGATAGGCATTCATGAAGGAGAAACTCAAACACCTGAAGACTCACAGGTGACCCAGAGCACTGTTTGAGCAGCTCTCCTCAGTTCAACTGTTTGTTTAATGAGATAAAATAAATTTCAGGTTATGATTTTCTTACGCTAATCTTCTTCACTTTGTGTTATCTAGGAAACTGCTTGTGGCAACACTACACAGGCAGACTGGATAACAGGGGTTTTCGTTCTGGCTTTGTCAGTAGCTGGGCAAGTATGGGTTCTGTGTAGTCTTTATTCATTTGTTTGTCAAATAGAGATCACATACACATTCCCCACTTACTGTGGGAGATGCAAAGGAGGTCGTTATCTATGAAACTTGGATTGCATGATTCACAGCCCGTAAAAAGCAAGTTAGTGTAGGAGAGAGTACTTATTTTCACAGAACTCCAGAGCCATTTTTATTGATGTTGATTCTTTTTCTTAATCAGCACTACAAATACTTAAGTGAGAATATACAAGAAAGAATTAAATCAAACGGGACACTGAGATTTTCAGTGGGTTAGTCACTCCAACCAATTCCTCATTGCATTGAACGAACAGGATGTGGCCTCAAAACAATTTGTGTGTGAGAATCCTGAGCTCCAGTGTGACAGTATGAAAGGTGGGGTCTCGGGGTCATGAGATGGGACCCTCATTAATGGGATTAGTGCACTGATGAATGGAATCCTAGAGAACTCTCTCACCCTTTTCCTACCATGTACGAAGAAGGTCAACAGTCTGCAACCCAGAAAAGGGTCTTCCCTAGAGTCCCTGGTGTTGGGACTTGAAGCTGCCTGGTCTGAGACAGGCAAGCTTAGGAAAAGCTTGTCACCTGAGGCTCTGTTATGAGAAAGTAGTTATTTTTGTTTACAGTTTCCCAGTACTCAGTTCTATTTAAGTTCTGTTGTTGTTGTTGTTTACAGGGTTAGTTAATTAGGTTAGCTGGGTTTTGTGTAATTTTGATTTTTGAAACAGGGTCTCATGTATACCAGTTTGACACTGAACTCCATACATGGCTGAGGATGACCTTACACTGCCTAATCCCCCTGCCTCCACCTTTCTGGTGCTGGGATTACACATTCATACCACTGTGCCTGATTTACTACTCCACAATGGGGGTTTACCACAGCTATTCTTGGTTGCCAAGCTGACAACTGGAATAAACTAAAACCGAAAAATAGAGGGCACACCAGTGAGGGGTTTTTGCTTAATTTGAAGTAGGAAGAGCCACGTCTAATCTGGATCTGGAGTTGGGAAGATACGCCTTTAAAAATCCACCTCTAATCCAAACCAAACCTTCTGCTGGAGGTCTATATAACAGTGGTCCTCAACCTTCAGCTCTAAAGCCAGGAGCACATGGCCAAAGCTGCCAACTTCTGCTGCTTACTGGGACTGGTACATGGCCCTCCATTCAATTATATCTTCACCAGATTTCTGGCTTTCACTGCCTAAATCTAGCTGTCCTGAAACTGAATCTCTAGAACAGGCTGGCCTTGAACTCAGAGATCCACAAGCCTCTGCTTCTGGAGAGCTGGGATTAAAGACATGCACCAACACACCCAGTTCTCAGCTTTTCTTTAGTTCCTTTTCACAAGCTGGAAAATTATCTGGGTGGGATCTTGCCCTGAGGTCACCACTCCCTTTATTCCATTTCTTAATCTGTTCATCTCCTTGAACACAGGATTTAGCTCTTATTCCAGTTTGTGGTCCCCTTTTCTCAATCTGTACATTTTGTATTTTTGTTTGTTCAGCTTGCTCCCTTTTCATTATAAATCTTCATTAGAGTTGTTACTAATATCCACACAACAGAGTCTATACTAGGCTGTTTCGAGATTTCCTCTGCCAACAGAATTAATCCAAAACTCTTCACTTTAACCTCAGACAGATTCTTTAGACAAGGGCAAAAAGCGATTACATTCTTTACCAAAGTATCACAATAATGATCTCTAGGCAACATACTAAAATTTTTCTCCTCTGAAACCCCTTAGCACCACTGTCTCCCATGCTCCTGCTAGTCTTACCCATTAAGCAGTATTTAAGGCATTCTACTGCTTCCTAACAAAAACTCCCAAAGTCTGTATTATTCTAAACAATAGCAAGGTCTGTTGCCTATCACAATATCCCAGCCCTGGTACCAGCTTCTGTTTTAGTTAGCGTTCCTATTGCTGTGAAGAAACACCATGACCACAGCATCTCTTATAAGGAAAATATTTAATTAGGGTGGCTCATGTTGTGGAATATTAGTTTAAGCTGTGTTACATTCTTTTATGCTGATATTTGCATAATGATGCAAAGATGTGTTGCATTCTGTTATGTCGCATTTGTTTAACTCTGTGAAGCTGTGTTACTTTGCCTGTCTAAAACACCTGATTGGTCTAATAAAGAGCTGAACAGCCAATAGGTAGGCAGGAGAGAGAAATAGGCAGGGCTGGCAGGCAGAGGGAACAAATAAGAAAAGATGGAGGGGAGAGAAAATAAGAATGAGAGGACGCTAGGGGCCAGCCACCCAGCCACACAATCAGCCACGGAGTAAGAAGGAAAGAGGTGTATAGAATAGAAAAAAGGTAAAAGCCCAGAGCCAGAAGGTGGGCAGGATAATTTAAGAAAAACTGGCTAGAAACAAGCCATGTCTTTGTTTGGTTGCTGGGTGGTGGGCATCCAAAGAGTCAAAGAGTTAAAAACAACCATCTACAGGCTCACTTACAGTTTCCGAGGTTCAGTCCGTCATCATCACCGCAGGGAGCATGGCAGTGTTGTGCAGGCAGACATCTTGATCAGAAGGCAAAGGAAATGGCTGTGACACTGAGCAAAGCTTAAAAGCAAAAGAGACCTCACAGCCTGACCCCACAGTGACACAGTTCCTTCAACAAGGCCACGCCTACTCCAACAAAGCCACGCCTCCTAGTAGTGCCACTCCCTATGAGCTTATGGGGCCAATCACATTCAAACGACCATAGCGGTTTAAGAGCTCTTGCTGCTCTTGCAGAAGACCTGAGTTTGGTTCCCGCACCCACGTTGAGTGGCTCACAGCTGTCTGTAACTCCAGTCCCAGTGTATCTGACACCCTTGTCTGGCTTCCACAGACGCTGCATGTATGCAGTACACTTACATACATACATGTGAAAAAAAAACTCCTAGACATAAAAACAAAAATAATCCTTTTAAATTTTTAAAGAAGGACTGGAAAGATGGCTAAATGATTTTAGAGCACTGGATGCTCTTCTAAAGGTCCCAGGTTCAATTCCCAGAACCCACATGGCAGCTCATAATCTTCTATAACTGCAGTTTCAGGGTATCTGACGCCTTCTGGCCTCCACAGGCACCAGGTCCACAAGTGGTGCATAGACATGCGTGCAGGCAAACACCTATACAAATAAAAAGTAAATAAGTGGGTAAATCTTTTTGTTAAAATAAGACTTTTGAGAAAACAAAAGTCAAATAGTTGTCAGGTGCTACTTCAAAACAACCAAGGTTCAACCTTATGCTTGCACAGCATACACAAGTCTCTGGGTTCAAGAGTCAAGGCCCTGCTGCCACCTAGGACCATGGTGATATCTGGGCACCAGCTACTGCCAAGGGCCACGTCTGGCTCCATGGTCCTGCTGCAGGTAGGTCTGTGTTGATGCCCGTGGCCTGTGTTACCACCAGAAGCCATGCTATCCATGTGAACCATGCCTATTGAAAACTGAGAGTCATGCTGAGCCAGCCCTGCCCTTCACTGGCCCTGGGAGATCTGGCCCTAGCCCTCGCTGGCTCCTGCAGCAGCAGTAATGGCTTTACCCCACATGAGAGAGCCAGCTCCGATGATCCCAGCCATGGGAAAGCGGGACCCACCCCTCAACACAGGTGCAGGAGAGCTGACCTTAATGGCATGGGCAGAGGAGAGTTGGCTAAAGTTGAACCAGAACTTTAGGATCTCCATGATTTGGGGCAACATCAGGATACCTGAGAGGAGTCTTGGTGAGGATTCAGTATTGGTGGTGTACCAAAAGCCGGAAGCCTTTAACCAGACCAACAACTCATTACAATGAACAATTGCAAGTAAAGCTGTTTGGACAAAAGTGTGTACTGTGTGACATGCCAGAGCTCCCCCGGCCACTGAGATGAGTGATGAGGCGGTGGAGAGGTAGGAAAGGAGGCGCGAAGTGGTTTGAATTTTTTTGGTTTTTGTTATTAGTATTTTTATTTTTATTTTTTTACTTTCTTTTGTGGCGGGCACTGCAAAGGTAAAGGACAGATATGGGAGGACTGGGAAATGAGTAGGTTGGGGTGCATGATGTGAAATTCCCAAAGAATTTATTTTAAAAATGTTTAAATAGAAAAAAATAAAGAGTCAAGCCCAATACTGCAAAAAGAATAGTGAGGCCTTAGACAGACATTTCCACAATAAGAGCTGGGGGCCAGCCATTCAGGGTTTCACTGTTAAGTTCTGCTAACAACCAACATGAATTACTTTAGGGCAAAGTTCAAGCCATAGAAACACATAATACATTATGACCCTTGAATAGGACTGTTGACACTTTACTAAAGGCTTTTTAGATAACCCACTCTTGTGTCGCTGTGACCAAAACTCCGTTCATAAACACCTTAAGGCAGGAAAGATGAGACTTTAACCATGGTTTCAGGGGGTTGCAGTTCTCCACAGCAGGGAAGGCAGAGGCCAGCGGCTCAGTCTGTGGTATCAGGAGCATGTAGCAGGAAAGCTCTTGCAGCAATAGAACAAGAAACAGAAAGTGAGAACAGAACCAACGGCCATCCCTAGTGACCTACTTCTGCCAGGTAGGCCCCACCTCCTACAGGTACACAGCCTCCCTAAATAGCGACACCAGACAGAAGACATGCTTCAAAATATGGGCTTGTGGCAGATATGTCAGATTCATCCGTAACATTTAGCACATTCCTAGTATGCCGCAGCCTGTCTTTAGAGACTCAGATATACCCAGGTATACATACATTTTATTCAAGAAAAAATATTTGGGGCTGCAGGCATAGTTCAGTGGTTCTTAGCACTTGCCTCATGTGTGCAAGACCCGGGATTTATCCCTCAAACTAAAACATAAATAAAAGGAGAGGAAGGTAGGGAAAAGAAAGGAAAATTGTTTTGATATTATGTAAGGAGCTGGAGATGGGAGTCAGTAGTTAGGAACCCTTGCTATTCTTGCAGAAGACTCAGGTTCAGTTCCCATGTATCCGCATGATGGCTCTCAGTCATCTGTAATTCCAGTTCCAGAAGATCCTGCATGCTTTACTAGCCTCTGTAGATACCAGGCACATACATGGTACACAGACACACACAGACAAAACACCTGCACACATAAAAATTAATTCTAAAAAAAATTTAAAGATGATAGAAAGTAAATTCAGCCATGCAGCTTGACTGGGTTATAAATCACCCAGGTGACATACTTTCTGGCATGTCTGGAAGGATGTTTCCAGAGAGGTTTGACTGGGGTGTCTAACTCCTTTCTCTCATCTTTCTCCTCCAATCTTTAGAAACTGAACTTGGCCTTCTGGCTTTGTTTGAGATGAGAGTGTGTAACTTCCTCCTGAAAGAACTTAACCACTCATGCTCAACTCTTTCGCATAGTCTCCCTTCCCTCTCCCCTCCTCCTCCTGAGCAGTGGAGGAGCCTGGATGAACCATGACAGGAAGGGTAGTCGACCTGAAGCCACACACATCTACAGTGATCTTTGTATGAGGGAAAAATAAAAGCAGTTTGTTTTATTCTTTTAATTATGGGGGTCGTGCATCTGCAAGCAGGTGTCTGCAGAGGACAGTTAAAAGGTGTTTGATTTCCCCATGGAGCTGGAGTTACAGACAGTTGTGAGCCGCCTGACATGGGTGCTGGGAACAGAACTTGAGATCTTCTGCAAGAGCAACAAGAGTGCTTAACTTTGAAGCCATCTCTCCAGCCAAAAATGTTGTCTCTTTTTAAAAAAAAAATCTTGTCTCTTAGGCCACTGGGATTTGGGGGCTTCCTAGCATGTGATTGGTCCTCAAAGGGCCTCAAGTAAAATCTAAATCTGATCAATAAGTGAGTGGTAAAGAAGGTTGCCCTACAAGCTGTGGAGATGGAAAGCTATAATATAACACAGCATTTAGTAAACAACTGTGCCTTATATCTGATACCATTTGCAGCAGAGTGGGCAAGGTCTCACTCTGTAGCCCAAGTTGACCTCAAACTCATGGTAATCCTCCTGTTTGGGCCTGAGATTATAGGCATGTGCCACCACACTCTTGGCTGGTGCCTAATATCTTTCGAAGACACTTCTTGTCTGATCAGATTATAGCTTGATCAGAATACATTGGAAAATAGAATGCTAACTGTACAGGCTTATTATTAGATAGATTTGACAACATACTTCAGGAGACATCAGTTCTGAAAAGAATTTTCATTTGCAGACAGGAATAAAAGAGAATAGAGAAAGTCTAAAAAAATTCTAGGATTTTGCGAAATCAGACAGTCGAAAGCATTTCAGCCCCAGCTAGAGGAAGATTAAAGGAAACAGCCTGTCTTCTCGTCATTCCTGTCATAATCTGTTTTCTCTCACACTGGTCTAACAGTGACATTTGTCACACTTTTTGGTCTGAGTCCAGATCACCCTCATTCCAGCCCCTCCCACTTCGCTGCTCCCTTGTCTCCATAACATTGCCGTTCAGACCTCTGAACCCTGGGGGCCTCCAGGCTTCGTCCAAGGACGCTTTCAAAATGTATGTATCCCCTCACTCCTTGGAGATCTCATGACTCTCATGCTATGTGTGCTGATAAATCCCTAACTCTGGTCAAAATTCTAGCTATGTAGGCATGGTAGGATGTGCTCGTAGTCCCGGCTACTCAGAGTCTGGGATGAAACAATCGCTTGAGTCTGTAAGATACAAAGCAGCCCAGACAACACAGGGAGACATCTCAAAAGGAAAGAAGAAGTTACAGTTTCATCTTAAAATGGTTGTCTCAACCCTCTGAATTGAATAGAAAATTGGATGCATGTGCCTCTCCCATTGCTGCTCTTCCAGGGGGCTTCCTGATTTCAGTAAATGGAAATCCCATCTTTCCAGTTTCAGCACTATTATTTTGGTGTCCCCATTTGTACCTTCTCCACATCCAACCTGTTATCAACTCCTGTCACTCTGTTTTATGGACCTGTGGAGAATCTGAACCCTTCTCACTAACTTTCTGGTATAATATTACACCCCCAACTCCTCTCCCGACTTCCTCACTAGCTGGTCACCTAGACGCTATGTTAAAAATTAGCAGCCAGTGTTTCATTTCAAACAAGGCTGACCCTAGTCACTTTCTCAGTCTCAGTTCAACTAGAGCTGGGAAGATAGCTCAGGGGTTAAACCACTGACTGCCCTTGCAGAGGATCCAAGTTCAATTCCTAACACCCATATCAGGTAGCTCACAGCTGAATGTGTGAGTGTCACCCTCTCCCGGCCTCTACACTCATGTCCACATACCTATAAACAGATGGATATGCATATACATAATTTCATAATAAATGTTTTAAAAAAACAAGAACCACAGACAGTGAGTTTTGGCTTCTCATGACCAGAAAATAACTTTTTTTTTGCCTTTTTAAAATTAATTTAATTTTTACATTCCAATCCCTGTTCCCCCTCCCTCCTCTCTTCCCTCTCCACCCCCCACCTCCCATCTGCTCCTGGGAGAGGGTAAGGCCTCCCCTAGTAAGTCTACTAAGCCTTTCCCATCATCTGGTTGAGGCAGGGTCAAGGCACCTCCCCACCCACCACACCCCTGTGTCTAGGTTGGGCATGGTGTCTTGATATAGAATGGGCTCCATTAAGGCAATTTGTACATTAGAGTTAGGTCTTGGACCCACTGCCAGTAGCGTCATAAATTGTCCCAGTCACCTATATTAAGGGATTCTAGTTCGATCTT